TCTCCTGTTTTTGTTTTTTTTGGGGGGGGTTGTTTTGTTTGTTTTGTTTTTGTTTTTTTTGGTATGAGGTCAAAGTGTTGTAGATTTAAGCCCCTTTTAACTCCCTGGATCTCATAAACTGTAGAGTATTCCTCAAAGACCACGAGTGTCACTTTCTGTTTCTTGAGGTTATGCTGGCCGTCGGGACTGCAAGATTTCTCCCAGATTTCTACGACTTGTGGCCACTGTGCTCTCCTCCTGCCCAGCGTGCGCGAACTAGCCTTCAGGCCAACCAGAAATTGGAGCCTTGGTTTTCGAAGCACACAATTCTGTGCTCTGGGCACTGTGTCTACACAGATAGAAAAGGTATAGGCAGTTTACTAAATGCTTGCAGGCTGCCAGGCAGACAATCCTGCCACTGCCCGAACTTTCTGGGACAGAGTGGCCAGGGGAGAAATCTGGGCTTCAATTATCGAAGCAGTCGTTTGCTCTCTGAATTTCTCTGAGCCAGTGGAGACTCCCCTATAAAGCGGCCCTAGCCTCTCGGAGCTGCGAAGCCCGCTGCGGGGCGATGGAGGGGGTGGTGGGCGTGAGGGTGGGCTTGTTGGTCCTAGCTCTGACCGACCACAGAACGAAGGCTGCTAGTGTTGCTAGACTTAGAGGGAATTTTGGTGTGCATTTTTCTCCTGCTCACGGTGCCGGGTTCGGAAGGGACTGGCACTGGGAGAGGAGAGCTCGAGGACTGAGCTCGAAGGGAAGGGACTGTGAGGAACATTGCAGGAAAGCCTGTGTAACTCCTGAGAAGGAAGTCCAAGAAGCAGAGGCTGCGCTGGACTTGAACGGGAAGCTGGGCTCCAGGCTAGCGTTCAGGGAGCGGCTGCAGGATCAGGCTGAATTGTAGTCGTTTGGAACTTCTGCAGCAAAGTTGGTGATGCCCCTGCCCTGAGCTCTCTGCCTGGAAAGGAAACTGGCAGCTCTGGTCAATGAGAGAGGGAAAGAAAAGGACAGTTATTCGAGTCCGGGGGCTATAAGTTGGAGGAAATCATCGATTAACAAGCATTTACTAAAGACCTATTGTGTGCCTGGCACAATACTAGGTAATGGTATTACACAGGGAAAAAAAAAAAGCTCCTTCCCTCATTGGGGGAGGAGGGGAGAAAAGCAGCACGTACATGAAGAGATATCTACAAGATATACGAAATAAATACCAGATAGTTTTAGGAGGGTGGGATAGGAGAGCGCCAGCAGATGGGGCAGTTTCTCTGATCAGTCTTACCTCGGGCTGGGAGGAGAGAGAATGGGGATTTGGGAGCTAGGTTGGAGGCAGCGAGAATCTACCTTAAGTATTCCTGAGACCAAGAATGTACCTCTCGATTTTCACCCATCCCTAAAACCCTGCGGTCCAGTTGGTGTTGGGAGGGTATGGTCTTGTGAATTTTCTTTGCCAGGGGCTAAGTGGATTTAAACCAAAGTTGTCGGGGGGAAGCCCAGAAGGATCCAGATGCCGAGTGTCCTGGCAGTTTTTTTCAAGGCAGGGAGTCCTGGAGAGCCTGGAAGTCCTAAGTTCATTCAGTCTTTTTACAGACGAGGAAACTGAGACCCAAAGAGTGGAAGCATCTTGATCAACATTACACCTCTAAGTAGCGGTACGGTATTTGAACCCAGGTCTCCTGACTTTAAATCCTGGGATCTTTCCCTAAACTTGTAAACGAAATAGCTGAACACCTTGGTGTTGGTATGGGAGCTATCTGTATTTTCTCAATTCTGTTATTTCAACCCCCCGCCGCAATCCAGAGAATGAGTCGATGAGGACCACACACTACACTTGAGGCACTGACCTGGTACTGCTTTCTGGGTGTAGTTAATTTCTTGTTTCTCGCCTCCTACTTCTTAACACTTACCTCCTCTTCCCTCTCCTCGCCCCCCATCTGACCCTGCAAATTGTAAACTCTGGGGAAGAAAAGAGCCAATTCTAACGGTTGTTTCCCTACCGAGACTAGCCTACTTGTGTTGTAGGGCTGGCCATGGGTGCTACTTCATCTTCAAACGTTATATGAGCTGTGGTTTAGGCTGATCGAAGGCAAAACCTTGAATTCATTTCCACCACTTTCCTGAACCTCACTAACTTGCTACAGAATGGGCTTCTTGTGGGTCGGACAGATTCCCCCCCCCCCCCCACTCGCCCGGCCTGTTTACAAGGCCTCAATCACCTCTTCAGGAGAGAGAAAAGGGCTTTGGAATGATCTCTGTAATTAGTGATGTCAAGTGCTGGTACTCACCTAAATAATTTGAATATTTGCCTAACTGCTTGCTTTATGCTGGGCACCGAGGTTCTACCTGGAGGGTAACAACAATATAACAAGAACAAACACAAAACTGTTGATTGAATGGGTTATTAACCAGGAGGATCTCTATTCGGGATTATTAGGTGACATTCTGGGGCAGTTAGAGTGCCAGGGGTCCGCTAAACAGATCTGAGAGAGATCGTTCCCTGAGACTGAATCAGTGATACTGTTAAGGTGTGTCAATCTCTATTGCCCTCCCCATCCCTCCAGATAATTTTCATTCAATAATTGCTCCTCCTTATTCCCCCAGCCATCCCTCCCCACCTCACTACTAATTTATCGTACCAACAAAGATTTCTGCTCTTTTCCAATCTGAGGGATAGAGTAGAAGGTTTCTGGTTTTTTGGAATTCTGGTTTCTGGGAATGTCTCCCAGACATTGAGGGGGTGGGGGCAAGTCCCAGACCCCTCATTTTAGTGACCTGGTCTGGGACAGAGGATTCTGAACTATTCAGCTCCAAGTCCTTTCTCTGGGACTTTGAGTTTGAACCACCCAAGAGAAAGAATTCTGCCCCCCCTCCCAGTTGACCCACATCGATAGAATCCCAGGAAAACTCCGCAGTCCTTGGGTTATTGAACCCCAGAGGACATTGCCAGGAATCCTAGCCTGCTCTGATTCTTCCCTGTGGTGGAGGAAGACATACGTAGCAGGCTGACTGATCTTTCATTCATTGAAGTCACCAGGTAGGCCTGACACCTGAAACCTTTTGTGAGGACTATGTTAGGATTTTGTTCTTTACTCTTAGGAGATAGCCTCTTTTCTCCCCAACAATCCAATATGAATGGCAGCTACCCCCTACTCTACCCCCATTTCAGATACAAGTATACCTCTGACATACTTCAAGGTTCCTGTTCAATTCAGGTGACTGTTGAGTCACTAAGGGTACCCCAGTTTAGCTCCTTTTTCCACTCTCCTCAGGACTTGACTGGGAAAGGGAGGATGAAGCTAGAATGAGAGAGAAAGAGACAGAGAAGAAGGCATGACCCTGGCCTTCCCAGCCGATTGGAGGTACCCATCTTATTTCCCTAGGCCTCCCTTGGTGTCCCTCTGTCCCACATATCCTCCCTTTCTTTTTCTTTTCCCTGATTTTCTTTTTAGCAATCCCAGAGCTGAACCCATCCTAGATGAAGTCACCCATTGCCTCCGATCTGAGCTGCGGTAAAGACCTTGGATTGTTCCCTGGGTCTTTTGCTCTTACCACCCACTTTGCACCATTAGCCCCTTATAGGAAAACTCTGCCTCATTACCGGCCCTCCACAGTTCTAGGCTTTGAGTTGGAGTGCAGGGTCTAGTGGTTACCACCTTGGACTTTAGTTGCTAATTAGGGGACAGAGAACTTCCATTGGGAACTGAAATAGCTCTTGCCCTGGTAGGTCAGACACAACATTACCTCTCTCTGCTCTGCCCCAAAGTAGACCCCATCATGCGTGGCGGTAACTAATCAGCCTCTCTCCTTGCTGGCTGTAGTGCCCAGAGGTCGGGGCCAGTTATTTCATAGCCTCTGCAATCTCATTCTTACACATCGGCCCTGAACCAGGGGCCTTAGGAAATACTGGAGAAGAACCTCCTTTGGCTTGGAGGGCCTAGGATGGTGGTGATGGTAGCTCCCCCTTGCGGCAGGGTTACTGCGTACAGTGCAAAGAGCAAGAACGAGGGCCAGATCCCGTTCCGGATAAACTTCGGAGTCGTGCGCGGGTGGCTCAGATCCCTGTGGCTCCTGCTCGCGGACGCTCAGAAACTGGTTCCCGAATGCCCTTCGGGAAGGCTGGGTCTCACTTTAGAGCGCCAGAGTCAGAGCAGGGAATTGAATAACCGCTTTGCAAAAGAGGTTCCACAGCTAGAATTTGGGTTTAAAGGGAAGAGGAGGATGAACAACTACAGGCCAATGTCTTCGTTAACCGTCCCCGCCCAGCACACCCAGGGAGGTGTTGAACACAGCTGGGTCCGAGGATTCAGAGAGATGAGTGAACTTTGGGATAAACTGGGCCTGTAAACTGACAATGTCCCCGTGCATCTGCGATGGGTTCTCTGGCTTTGAGACCAGGCAGAAAGAGGACCTCTATTCTAGCCCCGCTGTTCCTCCCAACGAGGCCTCTCCTTCCCTAGGACCGAGCGGTTAGTCTGGGCTGGGCAGCAGAGGAGGGGTGGGCGGGGGAGTAAGGACTGCCCTTTCTCTTTCCCGACCTCTTTTCTCTCCCCACTCCTTTCTTCCTCCTCCCCCTTCTACCACCCATCCCCTCCCCCTCCCTGCCCAGCCCCCTTTCACAGTCTCGGCCCCTGTTCCCCAAGTCTCGGCCCGAGGTGAAAGATATAATAGGCTACGCTCTGTCCCCTCCCGGGAGGGGCGGAGAAAGCCCATCTCGGCGATGACGCGCGGGGGCGCGGGCCGCATGAGGCGCTGAGGCTTCAGGGCCCCGGCTCAGTCCTCCCCACCAGAGTACCCCTGGTCGTGCGCCTTTCCCCAGGGGCAGGGTAGAAGGCCAGAGACCCCCAAGCTGAGGCGCCTGCCGTGGAGGGGCGGAGACGGCAGCCAGCAGAGCAGTAACGGCGCAGTCAGGGAAGCGGGCCCAGGCAATCGGGAGAATGAGCGGGCGCCAGCCCTGGCCCCGGAGCAGCCCCCCAGGCACCTCCGCCATAGCTGCTATCTAGGGGCCGAAGGGGCCCCACCAGGCGGGAGAAGAAAGCGGAGAAGGCCGGTGGGCTGCCGGGAGACTGGCCGGAGAGCAGGATGCAGCGCCCCATGGAGCTGGGCGCCGCGCACTACTTCCCAGCCGAAGCCTTTCCAGACCACCGCTCCCACCGCTACCGGAGCTTTATGATCGAAGAGATCCTCACTGACCCCCCAGACGCCAAGAGTGCTGCGCCTGCTGCGGCTGGTGAGCTGCTCAAGTTCGGCGTGCAAGCATTGCTGTCTGCGCGGCCCTTCCACAGCCACCTGGGTACGTGCGGCCAAGCGGTGGGCGAGGCGGGAGGGGAAGGGCGGGGGGCCAGCGGGAGGGGAAGGGCGGGGGCCAGCGGCCGGGAAGGGTCACAGTCCCACTCGGTCCTGGGCAATGGCGCAGGAGAAGTGATAACCACCAAGTAGCTCTCCCTGCCGCAATCAGCTAGCCTTCCAATCCAGCCGTTAGCGAAGAAGTCATCTAACCAGTCTGTCAACTTGATTGGGGTGCCGAAAGACCCATCTTAGGTACAAGGGGATATACAAAATAGAGAGCCCTGCCCTTGGAGAGTTGGCAATCCAAAAAGGTCCTCGTCCTGCATGGCCATCTTGCTCGTTAGAAGGGGGAGGTGCAAGCCCTTTCTGAACCCTTCTTTCAGTTTCTTTCGCCCAGCTGCGTTGGGCCCAGGATGTACAAGTCCGGCGCTTTCTGCTTAGAATTCATATTGTTGCATTACTAAGAATGCTTTGAGCTCTTCAGCAGAAGGGCTTTGTATAAACCAAGGGGGGGGGGGAAGGGCTAGAGAGAACACTGGTAATAACAACTTAAAGACCCATGGCCTATCAAAAAAACCCTCTTCCAGGACCTCTAACCCCTGAGGGTCCCACCTTTAGATAGGATCCTTTTTAGGGTGAGAAAACTTAATCGCCCCCCTCCCGTGCATGCTTTTAGGTAACATCGTTTCCTGGTTCTCCATGAAACCCCATTGATTACCCTGAGAGATGTATGAGAACCTGATGGGACTGAGGCCCCATGCTGCCCATCTTGCCCCATCTCAGCACCCCCAGAGGAGCTGGAGGGTCGAAAGGGCTCTCTCTGACATTCAAGACTTCAGGCCTTCAGATTCTGGGTGAATTGAGGCTGGACTCAGTGCCGCCAATGTTTGCCACGTCAAAGGGAGCCAGGAGAAGAACCATTGGTCCCTGGGGGAAGAAAGTGGGTCGACTCTGAGCCCCAGTTAGGTCAGCGGAGACCCCTTGGATTTGGAAGGGTCTGGAAATGGAGAAAGAAAATAGTTGCAATTGCAATCCCTAACAAAAAGATGGTGAGAGTAAGATGGTAAGGTTCTCTATCATCGAGGCCCACCTGCCTAAATATCGGAACTCTTTTAGAGAAGACTTCCAGTCTGTGAGGAAGAGGGCAAAGGTAATAGGGTCTGAACTGGACCAAGGTATCTGCTCTGAGTTAGTAGCCACTGAATTGCCTATGCACCTGGACCCGAAATCCCAGAGGCCTTTGGAGTGTCTCAATCCCTAAGACTTTCCCAAGCCCTTTACTTTATTTCCTGAAGGAGGCTAACAGGAATGGGTCTTGGAGGAGACTCAGTCCATCTAGAGAACTTTTTCCTCTTCCTCCCTCTGCTCTGTCCCAAACAAATTTTCCAGGTCTAGTTCATCCAGATCCCTGGGGTGGAAGTCACTTTCCCCATACCTGTCGATTTAGATCACCCTGCGACAGTCGAGGGACTGGTGGTTCCTAAGAGATTTTGTACCAACAGAATCATCTCTCCAGGGCCTTGCGATGCTTGCCTTATTTTCTAATGAGACAGTTATGATCAAATGTTATTTGAAACAAGATTAGGTTCAACTTTAATAATTCACTATTAATATTAAGTTCTTATATATTATTTGAAGTTGTGAAAATGACATTTTTTGTCTAAGTCTTTGTATCTTTAATATTTTCCTTCCCTTTTTTCTTCTTCATTCTTTCTTTTTCACTTTCTTTCCTGTTTCCTTCTGTCTTCATTCTACTTCTTCCTCTCTTTTACCAATCCTATGGGAGCCATGTTGGGACATCTGTAGTATAGATTTAATTCCTTTTTGAAAAAGAAAAGGTGGGGGAGTGTCATTTCGGGATTTTAGGGACAGAAAGCATATTTAAAGCTTTAAATATTAGGGGTGAGGAAAGGAACAGAGGAAACTATGCGAGTACCCATTTAGAAAAGGTATACTGAACTAAAACTGAGTTTAAAGTGATTTTTTTTCAACGCCAAGAGCACAATAAACAGAGGTGAAAAATCCCTCTTTCAAGAGGAAGATTTTTGTTATTCAGTGATTCTCTACCCTGGCAAAACAGGAGCACATCTCTCCATATCTCCTTTTCTGTGTAGGATTGGGCAGGCCGGAATCTCCTGAGGTTAACTTCGAGGTTAGCACTGACGGACATGGAGAATAGTTACGAGGTGAATTCAACCTGCGGATTATTCGTTGCCAGTCGTTTATTTTATTGTAAAAAATCATTTCAAGTTTAAGAATTGCGAAGCATTTTCGTGTTGAAGGGGTCTGACCAGAGTAACAATTGTTACACACACACACAACATAGCAACAGCTTCACGAAGAACCGTATTTACACGCATTTATATATGTTTAGTGTGTATAAGCACTTATATACACTTAATGTGTATAGACGTTAGTAATCCATGGGCATCTGTACACACTCCCGAACAGGTGTATATACATTTATTCGTATTTATGTGCATACCTGTGTTTTCATACAGATTTGAATTTTCTCTTTCCAAAGGTTGTTCTGAATGTTCTAGCTATAAAGTGTGATCTTGGAAATGAAAGTAAATTTTCTCTCTTCCTAACTCACTCACCAACGTTGTTTTTGCCCTGGCTTCTGGTTTTTTCTTGGTTTCCGTTTCCCACGAATCAGAGACGTTCAGAATCCTGGACTTCGGGATTCTGCCATTTTATGATCAGAGAAGAAAGAGTGGGGAGGGTCTGGAGAAATGTTACGGTGAGGGAGCCAGAAGAAGGAGCACTTAATTTCGGGGTTCCAGAGCCACTGGGGGAGAGGGAGCAGAGAAGGTTAGGGAAAGTGCCCCCAATATTCCAGTTCCCAGATCTCTCAGCGGGAGAGCCGATTAGCAACAGTAGAAGCGGGCTTTGGGGAGTCGCCCGCCCGGCTCGGATGAGCCAACCTGGCGGCTCCCTAGCTGCGGCCGGAGAATCCTGAGTGGGGGCCGCGGGCCGGCACTGACTTGTCCCCTCTCCTCTCTCCTCTCTGGGTTTCTGTCTCCTGATTCCCCTGGCATCAGCGGTGCTGAAGGCAGAGCAAGCAGCAGTCTTCAAGTTCCCCCTAGCGCCCCTGGGCTGCTCTGGCCTGGGCTCTGCGCTGCTAGCCGCAGGCTCCGGGCTCCAAGGGGCCTCCGCCTCACCTCACCTCCCTCTGGAGCTGCACCTCCGTGGAAAGCTGGAGTCTGGCCCGGCCGAGCCGGGCACCAAGGCCAAGAAGGGGCGGCGGAGTCGGACGGTTTTCACTGAACTGCAGCTCATGGGCTTGGAGAAGCGCTTCGAAAAGCAGAAGTACCTCTCCACTCCGGACAGGTAGCGTCAAGGGCTTGCGGGGGATAGAGGAGTGGGGCGGAGGAGCGGTGAGGGAGACCGGGAGCTGCGACCGGGAACGCACTCCTCTTTCCTGGGGCTAGCGGGGAGAGACTGCCTCCCCTTGAGGAACTTTCGGGAGTGCAAGAGAAGGAAGCGGGGAGCCCATCCTGAAGGCATCCTCCGCTTTCGTGCTTCCATAGAATAGACCTCGCTGAATCGTTGGGCCTGAGCCAGCTGCAGGTGAAGACTTGGTACCAGAACAGGAGGATGAAGTGGAAGAAAATAGTAAGTGTGAGGCCCCGGAATCCCTCGCTACGCCCCAAGCCCTCCCCATCTTTTCTGTGTCCCCAGCAACCTGGTATCCCGGAAGTGTCCACAGCACAAACCCTGGCCCTGTTACGTCGAGAACAACCTTAGTTCCCGGGAAAAAATGCTTTTCTGCCCAGACGCTTCGGTATTCTGGTTTAATATAGTGTCGCAGAGTTTGAATGTAGAGAGCTAGGAGCACAGTCAAATAGGCACCTGGTATCGGGAGGAAAGGGGTTGAGGGAAAGCAGAGACGGGCCCGATCAGAGTTTAAGCCAGAATAGAATTCCGGCAGCCAAAGAGAAGAAGGAAGGTTAGTTATACTATGAGGTTCGGTCCTTTCTCCAGGGTTCCGGGCGGGGAGAAACTGTCAGAGCAGTGAGACAGCTGCTTGTCATCCCTCCCTCTCCTGCGGCCTCCTGTAGCTTGGCCTGCAAGCGCTCAATCTTTTTTCTCTCTGTTGGTCTGCAGGTGTTACAGGGCGGCGGGCTCGAGTCCCCGACTAAACCTAAGGGGCGCCCCAAGAAGAACTCCATCCCCACCAGCGAACAACTGACGGAGCAGGAGAGGGCCAAGGAGGCAGAGAAGCAGGCGGAGAACCTGAGCTCACCCTGCGAAGTCAATCAGGAGGAGTGAGCTTGGTCACCAGAATTCTTCAGCCCTGAGGCGCAGCTGACGGGGTGGATGGTCAGTGCTTCGACCCTGGGACCTCTCTCCCTCAGAGAAACCAAAGACTACCCTCGAGGCCTTTTTTTCCGAGGACGGGATTAGTCTAGAGGACAAACCAAAACGTTCCAGGCCTTATTCGGGCGTCGACTCTCTTCCACCCTGGGAACAGACCAAGTCTCGGCCGCCTGCTCATTTCTCCAGACTAGACTGATCTTATTTGGAGCAGCAATAAGGATGGAGAGGAGTGTCTGCTGCTGAAAAAATATTGTTTGTTTCCTTTCGTTGTTTCTGCAAAGCGATCCTGCTGGGAAATCCAAGGAAGCTGGAATTAAACAAACGAGGAAAAAAATACGCCACCCTCCCAAGAAACAAAAGATCCTTCAAACGAATTTATGATAGAGGAGAAACTTTTCCTGTCTCTGCAGATGGGGTATTTAAGGTTGCAAAACCGCCCTAGAGGGTAGGGGCGAGCGCGCACACTCACGAACACACAAAGTTCACACTCACACTCACGCCCTCCAGGGCTTGGGCACTTCCTGGAAGGACCTCTCCAAGGTATGGGCGTCCAAGTGGTCTCCGTTTGGTTCTGGAGTCCTAGGTTCGGAAGGGGAGCCAAGAGGTATCGGAGACCAAACCCAACCTAGATGCCTTCTCCAATGCTCGGCCTTACCCTTCAAAGATAGTGACTTTATTCCAATAAAGTATTTTATGACACACGGGCTGAGGTCGGTGCTTCGGCAGCTCCTGCTGTCTAGTTTCGGCTGAGGTTGATTTCTCCTCGGCTGTTTTGGGCGCCCGAGGTTTTAGGGGGTCGCAGATTAAACTTGGGGGCTGAAAGGGGTGAGAATGGGACAGTTTGGTTTTATTTTTAAAGTAACATCGAAAAAATTATTTTTGGAGGGTGGGGAATCTGAATCTTTTGCTCCAAAGCAGGTGTGTCTCCGTGGGGGTTTATGGCTGGTGTCCTGGGAGCGACTTTTCCTGTTGTTTATCTGGGTTATCTTCCCAGTTTTCTGTTTTGCTTTGACTCGGGTGTATGGAAAGAGTCTCTAAAAGGGAAAGTCTGAGATTCTCTCCTACTTTTTAGCTTCTTATCCCACTATAGCTCGGTACGGAAAGGTAAATTTTAGCGCAGTCTCCACCGAACACCACCTGCCTTGAACAGAGGCAGTTGTACTGAACCAGAGGTTTCAGCCTTACACTAATCATTGACAGGGTGGGAAGTAGGACTGCCGAGCATGAGATCCCTTAAGTCTCTGGATAAAGAGCATTTTATTCGTCTGACTAGATTGGAGTATCACTTCTTGGTTTTGTTACCCAGGTTTCTTACACGGGTTTTTACTTTTTTATTTTGGGTACCGAAGCTTTGTTTGGACTTGCACTGATGCCCGCCAGCACCCCAGAAGGGGAAGCTCTCACTGAAAACAATCAGATAATTGGGTATTGAGGCTTCGCGAAGTGGACCGACTGGCTTATTGACTTTTCTCTACTGACTCTAGACAGACCAGTTGGGACGCAGGACCTGCCAGCATCCATGGTATCCGGGGCTTCCAGCGCTAGGCTCCTCCTGCCTCACCGTCAGATTTCTCCAGTGGCAGCTTGCATCCCTTTCTGTTTGGTTTGATTACTGAGTGAAAGCCTGACGTGTAATTATTCTCTAGACCTCCCGAGAACTTCGGCAGGAAACTCGGAGTAGCATCTTCCGTGCATCTGGGAGCGCCATCCCGCGTTGGGTCTCTGCCCCTAACTCCTACTGGAGCTCCTTACCTTTTACCCTCACCCCCTACCTCACTCTCTGTCCCTTCTGGTTTCTGTTTTCGTCTCTAGGCCCCTTACCCGAGTCAATACCCTCTACAGCGCGACTGAACACCAAGGCCCCAGACTCTGATTAGAGTTTGCTGGGTTCCATTTATCCCGAGGTTTCCTAGCTCCCTCTCCGCCCCTCACCCACTCCCAAGAATACAAGGCAAGGAGAGAATGAAAGACCACCTGGTGGGGGTGGACTTATTGAGGAGTCTCCAGACCTGGGATTCCAAATGCTTAGAGAGCTCCCAGTGAGAAAACTCCTTCCACGGCTGCAAAACGCCAACTCTTCTATAAATTAGAGTCGTAGAGAATACCTAGAGAACACAAAAATTTAGGGACGTACCTAGTTTGGATACACCTAGTTTGTGGGTCGGAGGCAGGATTTGAATTCAGGTCTGCTTGACTCCAAGGCTGACCCTCTGGCTATCATTCCACACAGCTCCTCAGACAACAGAAAACGAAATAGGAGGAATGAGACATGAAGGTACTCACAAATGCACTCTTTTTCGATGGAACATTTTAACGGGAGTTTGAGCACAATTTTACTAGACTTCCATTTCATCCTTTGCAAAATCCAGGGATTGAACTAGACGATCTCAAAGGTCCCTCTCTAAATCTGTGATCCTATAGACTTGATTTCTCAGACTAGGGGCTTTCTAAAAACGAGCCACCTGCGTTCTCTTCTCAGCAGGTTAACTCTGGTAGTCAAGTCCCTACAGACTAGCCTGATAATTCAGAATCAGATTGTTGGACCTGGAAGGGACCTTGGAGGTCATTTAGTGACATTCCCTCCTTTTATGGATGAAGAAACTGAGGACCAGAAACGCCATATGAACAGTTACACAGGCATGGAATCAGCTGAGCTCTTCACGGTTTATTCTTACTACGGTCAGAGCCTCAGTCCCTTACCCAGGTCGCACCTTTTTTTTTGGAGGGAGGGGGCTGGAAAAGAGAGAAAGAGGCAGAGAAACTCTAGAACTACTCTCTTTTGACCAGAGCCTCTAGGGGAAAAGCATCCCTCTTTCCGAGGCCCAGGCCGGGAACTCACCAAGAGTTACCCGCCTGTGCATGTCCTCCCCAGAGTCCCTCGCAAGCATTAGTGCTGCAGCCTAGGTCACAAACACAGCAGGGGGCAGCATCGCCAGGTCTCCGAATGAGGGAGATGGCCCTGGATTTTTTTTTTTTAATCTTTTCTTCTATTCACCCATCCACCCCACCAAAAAAGTGTAAGGGTTTTCCGACTTCTTTCTCATCTGGTTCCTGGGCCTGCAAGTATCTACACCCTGACATTTACCTAGAAGGAGAGCTTCGATGGTCACCCTGGGAAGGGCATTGGGGAAGGTAAAAGGAAGAATCAACTCCCCAGTTCCTTTCACACTCTTCAGGCTGACGCAACACTGAAGTGAAAGGTGAAAGGTCAAAAGTCATCCTGGGAGCCCCAGCTCTCGACCACAATCTATGTGCTTATGAAGTGGGGGGGTGGGGGTGGGCAGGGTCAGCGGAAGCAGGTCCAGTCTCCTGAGTTTCAGTTTCTGTAAATACCGGACTTTGCTAAAATAGGGGACCGTGGATCGATAGCACTTAACGAATCGGATAGAACTTTAAATGCATTCAGTCTCATAAGCTCTCTTATCCCGCGGGCTACAAGAAGGAAGGCACAGTCAGGCTTGATCGCTGCTGGTAGTCGGGTTAAGAGGAACCAAGGAATCGCACTAAGACAGTTTAACTCTTCTTTTCCATTGCCCTGTAACGCGGAGGCTTGGGCAGAGGGGACCAGAATGCAGGGGAAAGTTCCCCAAAGAAACATTTCCAGAGGGCTAAAACACAAGTAGCTGAAACAGCCTGGGAGCTCAGAGAAGGAGTTTAGCTGGTGGCCGGCCACGCATGGTGGCTTGCGGACCAGGGGAACGGTGAGGGGACAAATTCTTCCTGACCATTGAGCTGAGGCGGCTCACAGAGGCGTGAGGAAAGATGTCTCTTCCACACCTCCACTCCCAACTGCTGCGTCCCCCAAGGCTGAATCCCCGTCTCTGTCCTCCCCCACCCCATTTATCCCGTCTTCTGGGACCACTCACTGCCTGTGCCTCTGTGGTCCCCCACTTTCCTGGAGAAGGGAAAGACGAGTCCCGTAGGGCTTGGGGACCCCGTAGCTTCTAGAAGTGAGAGAAGGGCCTGGGATACTAGTATAGAAAAATGCATGTATGGCAAAGTATTAGAGCTGAAAGAGACCTTAGAGATCGAGTGCATTCCCTCGTTTTTTTTCCCCCCATGGGAAAACTGTGGCCCAGAGAAGTGACCCTCCTAGGGTTATGCAGTTAGTAGGCCCCAACCGGGCTGTCTCGGTTTCCCAGGTCGAGCTCTGTATACGACACCTTCTTTCTCCTAAATCCATTCCCAAAGCGCCTTCCGCTCTTTTCTTTGCGGCTCCTTAGCTGTGGGACCTTCTTTGGGGCGTGTTCAGCAGGAGATGGTGTGGGAGGAGAAGGAAGGATCACACGTAGGAACCAAGTTCTGATCTGGCCTTCTCTTCTTTCCCTCCTCCAACCTCTGAAGCATCTTGGGAAAGTCACCTAGGACTTTGAAAAACAGAAGAAGAGACCAATTCTCCTTCTCAAGCATCAAACTTGCCCGCTCTGTTCCACACACCCTCGGGCGCTGGCCAGTTTCTCGGTAGAGGGACAGCATAACCCATCTTCTCAGAATCTTCTTTCCTCCTTTTAGAACATTCATTAGCCTCCACTCTAAGACAAACGTTTACGAAAGTTTCTTATTTTGTCCGGGCTTCTCTCTTTCAATGCCAGGGGTCAACGAAGATCTTGGTCGATCCTGTTTGTGAAAGGAGAGGAGGCAGCTTAGTGCTGGAGGTGCGCGCTTCGGTTTCGCAGTCAGATGACTCGGATTCACGTCTTGACTGTATCACTTGGTACCACTGTGATCTTGAGCAGGTCACATTCCCTTTCAGGGCCGCAGTTTCTTCATTGAGGGGCTCAGACTAGATGATCTCCAAGATCCTTTTCATAGACCCTAATTCTATGATCTTATATCTTACTTAATTGATCCCCTTCGCATTGCTGGGGAGGGGCAGGGAGGGGAGGGGAGGGGAGGGGAGAACGTATGTTTACGCCAGAGTGCTACGGTAAAACACAGGGTCCAAGCCAGTGGGTTACGTATCCAGCAATCTGAGGTGAGGGAATGCGAAGAAGCATTTGCCTGTTGGCCTTTTGTCAAGGGGAAGAGAGCTTCGGTGTCCTAGACCATGCAGCTTGGTGGCTCAGGAGAGGGACTTCTTAATTTGGGTTCAAGCCCCCGCCCAGTTTGAGCAGCATTCCTGCAGCTCAATGGAGGCATCACGCCACCCATTCTCCCTCCGTTTTTTGTTTTGTTTTGTTTTTTTTTAATACTAGTCAGGGCCAGATTGTGTTTAGACTTGGCAGGAAGTGATAGCAGCCCCAGTAGCACCCAGACCCTTAAGTTCAGGGTATGGATCTTACGGTGTTTGAGTCTACCCGAGGAAAGTAAACTCTCCTGAACCCCTACAGACTCCCCTGAGACTACAGACCGCAAGAAGGGACTTTAGAAACTGTCTAATCCCCTCATCTCTGGATAGCAAAAAACCGAGGCCCAGAAAGGAGAAATAACAGGAGGAAATTAGGGCAGAACAAGGTTTCAAATCCACTTATGCTGCCCACCCTCCAACTCCCCAGTTAGAGGAAGGCTTTCGATAGATTTTGGTACAGTGGGTAAGTTGCCGTGTTTGCATCTCCAGTCAGAAGACCGTAGAACCATTGATTACGAAGTTGGACGTGTTCCTAGACGCTATTTAGATCAACTCTCTTATTGTACAGATGAGAAACTCAGAGAAATTAAGTGACTTGTCCATGGTCACGAAAGGTCACTTTGCAGAGTCA